TACCTGCATTGTGAGGGAGTCCCTAATGAGGCACATTACCTGCATTGTGAGGGAGTCCCTAATGAGGCACATTACCTGCATTGTGAGGGAGTCCCGAAAGAGGCACATTACCTGCATTGTGAGGGAGTCCCTAATGGGGCACATTACCTGCAGTGTGAAGGAGCATCAATTACAGCACTACAGCCTTGTGTCGCGTTTCCCTGAGGGTGATCCGGTTCACAGGATCCTCATTGCTGAGGACCCGAGCAGCTGGACCAGGCCAAGGGGACGCCCACGTTACACCTACCTGCAGCAGATAGACGGCTATTTTCGGAAGGTGGGACTGGACTGCATGTCACCCTGGGAGGCCACCAACAGGGATCCCAAGGTGTTTCATCATGTGGTGGGTGCAGCAACATGCTGTACCAGTGCATGCGTCCCGACCTGACCTGTGATGGAAAGGCACATAATCCAATGTTGTGCCAAATAGGTCAAGGCTAGACCACTATCCCAGCATGCACCTTGCCTCCCGACCTCCTCTCCAGTTTTTCTACCACGCTGCCTTAGATAGGCCTCAGGCTCACCTGTGGCCCAGTGGCTGGATGATGGGTAGATAAGCATTAGGCACTTAGTGACAGAAGGTAGATTCCACAGACCTAGATCCTGTGAACATGGCAAATCAACAGTGTTTCATTGCACACAAAAATAGACCTTTCTGCCGAAGTGCCCGTTACAAAAAAAATTATCCTTGCTATAAAGTCACTTGTAAAAGAAATAGTAGAATTTGGTGGAGAAGTTCACTCATGTGACAGGCCAAATGAACGGGCGTCAGTGTTTTCCAGCGAGCCTTTATGACTGTCATGGCTCGTAAACTACATCTGGGGAGGAGGATAATTGTATAGCAGAGCTTCCAGGTTAGCACAACGTTTTAATTACTGAGCTGCAAGGAACCTCACAGAATTTACTCCGAGATGAACTGACACGTTTCTGAGAAAACAGCTGAAGACATCTGCAACCTTTATTTTTGTTGTCAAGCGGCTCCTTTAATCATTTCTATATTATATTGATGTGTTAGGTCTGTTAGAAAACTGATACTCCCAGTAGAGGACATGAGCGGGATTTTATTAAATGAGTATATTGAATTAGGATTGTTATCACTGCCATTTTTTAGAAGTGTTTGTGTTATTTTTATGACATAAACATGCAGTTATTGTGTAAATAAGGTTCTGCACCGTGAATATTGGAAGGCTGATAGAAGTGTAGCTCTGTGGCTTTAGGTTCTGTATCTCTTTCCACAAGGTCATGGGTTCAAGCCCTGTTTTATATATCATTACTGGGCCCTTGAGTAAGGCTGCTAAGCTCAGCTGCTCCAGGGCTGCCGGATGCTGCCTGGGCCCAAGTTTTCCTCGATTGTAATTCACTTTGGACAGAAGCATCTGGTAAATAAAAGTCCATGTTTTATTCTGGACCTGAATTCAAAGGCTGGAGTCCTAGAACTTTAGCTCACCCTCCAGCCCCCAGTCCCTAATTCAGCCTTAAAACACCAAGGGGGTGTCTCACTATTAATGTTACGACTTCAGTGAGATGTCTACGTGCTAGAAAGAAAACCAGGACTGAAACTGGCCAGACCTATTCCAGAAAGTTCAGTCTGATTATGTGGGATCTTCTTAGAGAGCTGATTGACCAGCCTGTGGTGCTCAGTTACACAACACAGGCCACACTGAGAATCCTCCGGTCCCACGGACTAACTGCTGCCATTACGCGGGTCTTCCAGATCATCTGAGGACACGACCTTGACCAAAGATTGTAATAACATGTGAAACGAAAGGCAAAGATGCCCATGCCACAATCTTGCTGGAGTCTGTGGCTACGGCATACCAGACATTTGACAGCAGTAAAGTTTATTGAAATTAACCCCAATTTTTTTTCCTCATTGCTGGAGTGTTGTGACTTATTCATAAGTCATGAGACAGTTTTAAGTTTTAAGTTTGTGTGGGTTATGTTTCCTGAAAATGTAAGGTCTTTAAAGCATTTGCCTTTAAAATGGATTATTTTTTTCTTTAATACAAACATAATTCACTTAAGCATATTTAAATTCTTCCCCTGCACTACAAATGGTTTAACAGCAGTGGGAAAAATTCTGTGCTGCGTTTAGCAGGAAGGAGATGCACTATCCAGCCAACTTTCCCAAGTTTCAAGCTCCAGCGAGGTTAAATCTCTTCCATTCAGGCGTCCTTGGGGTTTCTTTCTTTTCTTAAGAGCTGCTGAAATGCTCGTTGCACTGGATGACTGAGGCGGGACGGCATCGTGCAAAAGCACGGAGGGGTGTAGATCCGTCTCCTGGTGTATGCGGCCCGGAGCTGGCGGGTACTCGGCAAATACCACGGAACAAGCAGGCCATTCAGAGGCAAAGGGTCTGGAAAATCGGAAAGGTAGAAAAAACGGCTGGAGCCTGTAGCGTTAGCGAGGGTTTCCGTGCGACGGCCAGTGCTAGTGGAGAATTTCACTCAGCTGCCCTTTAGCAAAGGTGCAGTTTAAAACTGCTTGAAAGGTATTTTTAGACTTTCAGCACCAGTTCTTTTCGATTGTATCACACGTTGATGCTCTTCTGGCTTTTTGATGTTGTTCTGAATTCCATAAGTTCGGCGCAAGTGATTTGGCCCAAGGTGGTAAGAATGGCACTGACAGAAGTTTTTAAAATGCTAATTTTTATTTTTCATTTATTAAATATGTTTCCTATAGTTTTTAGGACTACATTTAGAGGAACATGGTTCTTTGTAGTGTTCAGGTTAAGGAACCGGGTCTTAGATGTCACTAAGACTGCTGATTTCATGCGCTTATTCAGTAAAACACTTGGTTTAAAGTTAAATGGCAAGATTAATAAGTGACATATAAACTAAGGCAAAAATGTGTATCATCTACATCATGAAGTCTATAACAAGCCCAAGATAAATAGCATTCCTAAATGTACAGTATTGTTGCCACTGAAAAGACAGCGATGACCATTAGCGGCGTTTAAACGAAGGGTGAGGAGGACAGACTGACGGGAAGATTGCCACTGTGACTGCCAAAATAATTACCCCAATGTCCTGCTCCCTTCTGCAGTCAGATGTAACTTTTCGAAGGCCGTCGGCGCTAAGCTCAGTATTTGTTGCTTTCGATATACAGAGACGTGCGAGAAGCAAATTCAGCTGTTTATAATACACACGATATCGCTCGTTTCACATCAGACGTCGCGACCTCTGCGATTTTTAATCTTTCCATCCACCCTTCCCCGTTTCTTAAGGGTGGTGATGCACTAGAAGACACCGATTGCAAACCAATATAACAGTAAATTAAAGTACGGTCTCTCGGCCGCGTTTTTAAGCGCACAGATAGGCGTGCAGGACGTTGTGTAAGGAGATAAGACAATGACAGCTGACGGTTATCGGTTGCATGCACCTGAACATCTCTGCCAATCGACCAAAGATCAGGATTAATTTACAGCTGGGATTACATATTGGATCAGGCAGTGGTCCAGTGCGCAGGAGACAAGGTCGACCTGTTAAGAGTAGCACACCCTCACGGTTACAGGACGCCAGGACACGTGGGTGGAGGACATGTTTAACGTAATATGAACCGTAGCTCCCGGCTGCTGTAATTTCCTACGATTATTAAGTGATCAAGCTTGTTCATGTATGATTATGTTCCGCTAAAACATCCAGATGGAGCTCTGGTTTGTTAATTGTCCCTTTGATGTCATACCCCATTGCAGTTATTGGATCTAATGGGTTATTATTAAATTACAGAAGCTTTACAGTTGAAACTCTACCTGCATTTCCAAACTCGGCTAAAAAATAAGTAAACGTCACATCTGAAGCAAGACCTGCTTTATCGGTCTAATTATGCAGAAAAATAACACGTTTGTGACTGGCTGGATGCCCCCGATGAGCATTTAGAGGATGTCATTCATGTAAAAATGTAAAAGGTGGTGTAAAAAAAAAATAAAAAAATTCCTGCAAAATTCCTGCAAAATAAGAGGTTTTTCCGGTATGATAAATGCAAGTAGAAAGCTGAAAACCGCAAAGCTAAAATGCTTAAATGTGCGTTGGCCTATTTGTTTGCACAGTGTGTGTTACGTTAATTGCGTGTGAACAGCACAGGATACGTGAGCCACACGACTCATCTGAATTTAATGACGATCCTGCTTTGTAGGTGTGTGCCGCTATCCATTAGGCATGACGGGTGGACAGATTCAGGACGAAGACATCTCCGCCTCCAGTCAGTGGTCCGATTCCACTGCGGCTAGATACGGCAGGTGTGTCTCTTCAAATGCACGCACAGTTTAAGCTATCCACAGTGAAACCATGCAGCTGTAAGGGGAGGAACAGGCCGTTCCATGTCGTCCCCACCACATGATGTCTCCGGGACTGCAGGCTGGACTTTGAGGACGGGGACGGCGCCTGGTGCCCGGATATTACCGTGGAGCCGGACAGCCCCAAGGAGTACCTGCAGATCGACCTGCGCTCGCTGCACTTCATCACGCTGGTCGGCACGCAGGGTCGCCATGCCGGCGGCATCGGCAAGGAGTTTGCCCAGATGTACAAGATCACGTACAGCCGCGACGGCAACCGCTGGATCTCCTGGCGCAGCCGGCATGGACAGCAGGCGGGTTTACGGATGATGTGTAATACTGTGATGCGCAGGTGGTTCTAGACCCAATTTAGGGTGACTTAAAATATTAATAAAAAAACACATAGCGATTTGTTCTGTATTTTCGTATACATTTCGTACCCCATGTTATGAAAAATTTATCACAGTGGACCCCCCCGTACCCATCAGTCCACTGGAAAAATTGCAAACAGAACAAATCATATAATTGCCAAACTGTAATTAGACTGATCATAAATGTTATCCAAGAACTTTCTAGTACTCTGGCTTTTTTGCAACGACTTCACTTTCTGGGAAGTCTGAGATACTCCTGCCAGTTGGTTAATTTGGTTGAATAGCTGTATAGCGATTTGGGTGTAGTGATTGCTTGGGTCGTTCTTCTTCCTGCTGTAGATAATCGAGGGCAATAAGAACGCATATGACGTGGTGCTGAAGGATCTGGAGCCGCCCATCATCGGCCGCTACGTGCGCTTCATGCCGGTCACCGACCACTCCATGAACGTGTGCATGCGGGTGGAGCTGTACGGCTGTGAATGGCTGGGTGAGACAGGGCGCCGTTCGCGATGCCAGCAGTAACCGCACGGCCAACCTAATGGTACCTAATCTGAATGGTAAAAACAGCACAGAAATACGCTAAACTGAAATCCGACCATGGTGGTGGCTTGATGATTAGGAAAGTGTGCTTATGATTGAAAGGTTGCTGGTTCACATCCCATACCAGCAGGACACCAGTGAGATACCCTGAGCAAGGTACCACCCCCATGCACTGCTCCCCAGCTGCTAAATAATAGCTACCAACTGCTATGTCACATAGGGGTTAAATGCAGAGGACACGTTTCATTGTTGTGTGCTGCAATGTGTTGACAGTTAATCAGTTGTACTCAGTGGACTGTACGTCCTTGTTTTCAGAGACTTGTCCTCTTTATTGGGACCTAAAAATGCCTGAAATTGTGATTTCACTTTACTTCACGTTGACGTTTGCTTTCTACAGTCAGAATACTGCGTACTGCCTTGTGCTTTGATGCCTCTCTTTGCATCCTCTCCCTGGTCTTTTCTTTGTAAAGCAAATTCACCCTAATTTAGTTTGGTCTAGACTGACTAGAAAAGAAATGGATTCACTGTAAACATAGATAGAAATGCAGTAATAATTATCACGAGTATGTATTTTGGCATTTTTAAGTGTTCAAATAACAGGCCTATCACATGAGATAAATATTTACATTTGTGATTCTTTGTTTGATTTCAATATATTGTTTAGCTTTTTTTTATTTCACCAAAACTGGGGCACAAGTTATACATTTGGCAGATTTCAACAAAAGCAATGAAATGACATTTTTATACTAAGTGGTAGTTTCATACCAATACAAACAAACACAGACTGTTTTAGTCTGTCGAATATATTGAGGGACATCGGTTCTTAGTATTTAACAGTGATTTCTAAGTGGTTCTGATGTTGAGAGATTCCCACAAACCTAAATGTATTCTCAACACTCGGTTAGTTTACATCTTTTGTACTCATGGTGTTGGCCAGCTCCAATTCAAGCAAGATCCCAGAGGTAGGCAATCTTACCTAGAAAGGGCCGCTGTGTATGCAGGTTTTCATTGCAACTCCCTAATTAGTTTAGTAATTAGAGGACTGATTGGCTGAAGATTCCTCACATCTGGGTTTGAACAGCTGACCTAAAGGTTATCCCAAAAACCTGTGTACACACCGGCCCTTTGTGGATAAGGTTATCTACTACTCAAACTCTCATTTGTCCTCCAACCAGATGGCCTGGTGTCCTACAGCGCCCCTGCTGGCGAGCTGATGATCTACCGCAGCCAGAACATTCCGCTGAACGACTCTGTTTACGATGGTTCGTTGACCTACAGGTGGGTGCTATGTTTTCTATATCCACTCCCTGAAAGGTCTGGCTCTTCTTTGGATGGGGTCTTTGAGAAGTCTGCCGGCACACACTGCTGTCTGAAAAATAATTTAGGCATACAGTAACAACATTTATCTACTGTTTGGGGCTCACATCCCAGAGAAACAATTTGTTTGGGTATTTTTGAATGCATGAAAAAGCCTTTTTTGCAACTTCTGTCTACTTTCATTATCTATATATGTGTTCCACTACAGCAAGGCTTCCTTCAGTTAACTAGTTATGACTAGATGGCCGGGTTAGAATAAAACTGACAAAAATCAAGTCAGGTAAAATATTAGTTGTCATTGTGTACGAGGAGTACTTTTAGAGTACTGATGTTTGATTTGAGATCACTGCCATCTAGTGGTAAATCTATGCTTTGGCACATATAAATTCCATCATCATGCTTTGTCTTCCAAAGGGTTGGGCTTGGATCACTGATACACTGGCAATGTAAGTGTGTTCAGTAGATCTTTTGGTGTTGTGTAGTATTTTGAAAGTTCTAATCATCTGATGATTTTCTATTGATGTAATCGAACTAACACTGAAAAATTAATATTTTTGTAATCACAACAAATGTGTTCTCTTTACTGTTACAACTGATTGATTCGTTGATTCTAACCCTTCAGTGATGATGTTAAGAATCCCTGTTTTCACACTAATAGAGCAATAATGTGGCAAAAGAGACAGTGAAATCCCTAATGGCTGTTCTTATCATACATCAAATGATTTTGATTTTTCATGCCTTTCTTAGTTCATCTGAGAACTTCGCTGAAAACTGGTGTAATTAGGGGTTCATGCTGTCTTCAGAAGGCCTGGTTAAAAGTTAAGCATGTGGATCTTATAAGCCCAAAGTGTGTGTATACTTTTTGCAGTTAATTCACAGCTCTCGTCTTCAGTGGAAAATTCGTAGTAATTCGTTGTAAATACTACAACACGTAGGTGGTGTTAATGATTCTGGTGTCTCCATTCCCCTTCAGCTCTATGAGTGAAGGCTTGGGCCAGCTGACAGATGGCACGTGCGGCCTGGATGACTTCACCCACAGCCACATCTACAGCGTCTGGCCCGGATACGACTACGTGGGCTGGAACAATGAGAGCTTCCCAGGAAACTATGTGGAGATCGTCTTCGAATTTGATCGCATTCGCAACTTCACCACCATGAAGGTGCCTGTGATGGTTATACTGGCAAGAAGACGCTGTTAATATAGGGTTAGACCAAGGAACTGTGGACAAAATACTGTGATGTATCGATAGGATGTCATTGTCCCCACTGATATGTCTGAGTGCTGTGCTGAATTGTTGTACCTAATGACCCTTGCCAGCATAAGTTGTTAAAAGATGGATGGATGGAATATTTTAATGGAAAAAAAATAACACATCCATATCAAAAGCATTTTTGAGCATGTTACTTAGACTTAACATTTTTATGATGTCCGAAGTGATAATTGGTTGAACTGTTTTCTTAAAGGTCCACTGCAACAACATGTTTACGAAGAAGGTGAAGACGTTCAGGCAGGTGACGTGCTACTTCCGATCCACGTCCGAATGGGAGTCAACGGCCGTCACTTTCAGCCCCGTGGTGGACAGTGTCAACCCCAGCGCACGCTTCGTCAGTGTCGCCCTCGACAACCACATGGCCAGTACCATCAAGTGTCAGTACTACTTCGCTGATGCCTGGATGATGTTCAGCGAGATCACCTTCCAGTCAGGTGGGGCAGGCAAACACTGATGTGGCAGAAAAGCAGAACGAATGCATGTCTCTATTTATTTAGCTATTTAATTAGATGTTTAATCAAGTGAAATGTATTTGCAACATTTATTTCCTTGGTTCAGACACAGCGGTGTATAACACGACACTTCTTCCACGCAAATCCAACGCCCCACCCAGCATTCAGCCAGGTTAGTTCCTGAAGCATCTTCTGCTTGGTCCACTTCTGTTCTGAGAATGAAGTGCTGGACTCTTGGCCCAATTCAGGCATCAACCCAACGGCATCAGTCGCCTACAAGGGTCCTTGTATCTCTTCCGCAGGAGACGACCCTACGCACAAAGTGGATGACAGCAATACTAGAATTCTGATTGGCTGCTTGGTTGCTATCATATTCATCCTGGTGGCCATTATCGTGATTATACTGTGGCGGCAAGTCTGGCAGAAGATGCTGGAAAAGGTTCGGCGCCATTAATTTTTTTGCAGCAGCAATTTGTAGCCAATGGAATCCATTGGAAAGATTTATCACCCTGATTGGCTAGGTTACTCGATGTAGCGTGATGATTGTAATATAACTTTGGTTTAACGTAACGTTATTCCAGGCCTCCCGGCGGATGCTGGATGATGAACTGACAGCCAGCCTGTCCATAAGAAGTGACACGTTCACTTACAGCAACAACAACCATTCATCAGAGTCCAGTGAGCAGGAGTCCAACTCTACTTATGAGAGGATCTTCCCTTTGGGGCCCGATTACCAGGAGCCCTCACAGCTCATCCGCAACATGCCTGAGATTTCCCAATCCATGGAGGAAGCCGGTGAGTCTACAGGGATTCTGGGAAACCCTTGGCATTCATCAGATGTAGTCTCTATGTAACCATATTCATATATGCTAAAATAATTTTCAATGACAATCTAAAGCTAAGGTCCTTGTACTATTAAATAGGAATCACACATTGATACCAGCTAGTTGGATTAGTTACTTGATTGAAATTAATCAAGTTATTTGTTAAAATAGGTCTAACTTGTTTGAGGGACAAGGGTCACAGTAGCCTTGAGTTCTCTCTGCATTAGCGTTGCTCGTTTGGCGACGTGTGTCTGGGTTTGTGAACATCTGTGGCTACGTTCATGTGTCGTCATCCGCAGGAATAAGTGTGCCGTCAAAGTCGCCTCGGGCCAGCGCCCAGGAAGGTGTCCCTCACTACGCTGAAGCAGACATCGTGAACCTCCAAGGAGTCACAGGCAGCAACACGTATTCCGTACCTGCCCTCACTATGGACCTCCTCTCCGGGAAAGACCTGGCTGTAGAGGAGTTTCCCCGAAAACAGCTGACCTTCAAAGAGAAGCTTGGAGAGGGGCAGTTTGGGGAGGTCAGTGCATCAATCAGCTAGAGGTGGATGGGTGCAGCCTCGTCTTTGGTGCCGTGACCCATAGTCGAGGTTCTGAACGGCCCTAAAGGATTTTTTTTTCATTTCCGTGGGGAAACCGCAGGTGCACCTGTGTGAAGCGGACGGCATGCAGGAGTTCATGTGCAGAGACTCCTGTTTCGACTTCAGCGACGGTCAGCCCGTCCTCGTGGCCGTGAAGATGCTGCGCGAAGATGCAAACAAGAACGCAAGGTATGAATCTCAACAAGCATTTAGTGCAGTTTCAGGGAAAACCCCATACCGCAGAAAGATCTAATATTTATTTAATATATCAGTCCAAATACAAAAGATATAGAAGTTTCTGTCTTAGCTTGTTATCTGCTGCCATTTCTGAATCTTCAGGGCATCTCTGCTCATCTGAGTTTTACACACAAATGTTCTGAGAGCAGAGAAAAAAAATGATTGGTTCATTTGGTTCAGCCAAGGTTGGTCCTGCCTCCTCTACTTGCTTGGGACCAATCTGATTGGTTATCTCTCTGAACCAATTATTTTTCCTTCTGCCCTCAGAACATTTCTGTGTAAGTAAAACTCCCACGAGCCAGAGTTCCTCAGAACCCTCTTCCTCTCCCATTAACAGGACTGACTTCCTAAAGGAGATCAAGATCATGTCTCGGCTAAAGGATCCCAACATCATCCGTCTGTTGGGCGTGTGTGTCCATAGTGACCCTCTCTGCATGATCACAGAGTACATGGAGAACGGCGACCTCAACCAGTTCCTCTCCCGGCATGAACCCGAGAGCTCTTTGGCCCCGCCCAGTGACGCCACCTCCCTCAGGTTTGAGTTCCCTCTGTCATTCAAGGCTTCATCTTCATCCATTATCCGCCGCTTCGCTTATCCAGAGTCGGGTCGCCGGGGCAGCAGTCTAAGCAGGGATGCCCAGACCTCCCTCTCACCAGCCACCTCCTCCAGCTCCACCAGGGAAATTCCAAGGCGTTCCCAAGTCAGCCAAGAGACATAATCGCTCCAGCGTGTCCTGGGTCTGCCCCGGGGCCCCGGAACACCCCCCCAGGGAGCCGCTGGGCAGTCATTCAGGATGTTTTTTAGTTGTTGTTTGTACAGTTGTGTTATATACAAGGCAGCTTCTCATACCTCAAACTGTTCGTACTGGAACAGAGTAGAAGTCAAAGCTTCTCTGACAGGCACTGGTCCCTGCTGAAAGCTGATTGGCCCTCGGCATTCCCTCTCCTCAGACACTCTGGAATTCAAAGCATATTATTGGCTAATAGTAAGGTTGGAATCTCTGTGTGAATTATAGTCCTTCTTATGCCCCTCTTCTTAAAAAATGCTAGAATCGCCCCTGTTACCCTGTGCCTAATCTTCCAGCTATGGCAGCCTTCTGTACATGGCCACCCAAATCGCTTCGGGCATGAAGTACCTGTCCTCCCTCAAGTTTGTGCACCGAGACCTGGCCACACGCAACTGCCTGGTGGGGAACAGCTACACCATCAAGATCGCCGACTTCGGCATGAGCCGAAACCTGTACAGCGGGGATTACTACCGCATCCAGGGCCGTGCCGTGCTACCCATCCGCTGGATGGCCTGGGAGAGCATCCTGCTGGTGAGGAAGGGCCCTGCTGCTCTTCAGGCCTTTGCAGTCCAGATCTCTCTAGATTAAATGGACCTGGAACATATGTGATAACTTAAGATGCGCTAAAGCTATTTAGCAAAATAGCACACACTTTACAGATGGATTTTAAAGGAGATCTGTTATGCTTTTCCAGTTTTATATAGCCCAAAGTACATGCCAAACTGAGTAACTCTCATCACAGAAACCACTCTTCTCTAATCTGCCTGAAATGCTTCCTTGGAATTCCAGGCCTTACTTCCGTGACATGGTGAGGTCACCTCGTAGCACAATCCTTATTGGCCGGCCAAGGACCTGTCTGCAGCCTGCAAGAAAGGGGTGGATCATGTAGGGCAAACTGACCAATCAGGGCACACTGAGCTCCCCAGGGGTGGAGCTAAAAGCTCTCAACAGTCTTTCAGATAGAATTATAGGCAAAGTGAATATTATGAGAAAATGTGTTTTCAAAACATGTAATTCTATTCCAGTGGTTCCCAAAAATGAAATTATAAACAGTGAAAATGAGCATAATATGGCTCCTTTTAAGGTTGATTATTTAGGCAATTTACTTAAGAACCTTAGTTCTTTTACTAGATGTTGTGGTTACGCATTGAATTTTGTGTATGAGTGCTATAATATTTGCCTCTGATCTGACCAAGAGAAGGAGCGTTCAAGTGCGTATAACGGCAGTTACCGTTGGCCTCCAGGGCAAGTTCACGACCGCCAGTGACGTGTGGGCCTTCGGTGTGACCCTGTGGGAGATGCTCACCTTCTGCAGGGAGCAGCCATACTCACCGCTCACTGATGAGCAGGTCATCGAAAACACCGGAGAGTTTTTCCGGGACCAGCAACGACAGGTGAGGATTGACGGCCTGGGGAAAGGTAGGGTGATGGAGGAAGTGGATTGCAGTCCACTTGATCATCGTCAGATCTTTTCCCTGCCTTCTCTGCAGTGGTCGCCTTATAAACACAAAACTTGAGATGATGCGAAACACAGATTGACGTTATGAAGGTAAATGGCGTCAAACACAGCGAAACGTGTGTCCGTGTGCTTCTTCCAGATCTACCTTCCTCAGCCTGCCATGTGCCCAGACGTCATCTACAAGCTCATGTTGAGCTGCTGGAAGAGGAACACGAAGGAGAGGCCCAGCTTCCAGGAGATACACCAGGTCCTCCAGGAGGGCCAGGAAATGAGAGAAGGCGCACAAGAGCAGGACCAGGACTGGGGACTCGGCAGTGCGTGTCTGCTGGACTCTCACACTCTCTGAGTGGGCGAGATGGCACGCAGCGACAGGTTGTCCACGTAGGAGCAATGTGGCTGCCGTGTAAATAATGTTTATCACACTTTTTATTGGTCTCTTTGTACACACAAGTAAGTTCCAGAAGAGTCCGAGAAATTGCTGAATGAAAATGTAGCAAAGGATTATCGGGACCTAAATAGCAAACCATGTCTTTAATTTATCGTTATTATTTCAAAGAATTACGACGGACAACTGCAACACAACTCATAACAATTTCCGACTCTTATTGCAGACCAGAAAATGTTAAAGAACAAACAAGAACATTTTATTCAACAGTGCCTTGTCTTGTAAATAAGCAGTGCCTTATCAGAGGGAAAATGGCAGCCGTTTTTAAACAAAACCATTGAAATCAAGAACTTCATTTCATCTGTCTTATCAGTCTTTGTCAACCTTTACTGAAGTATTATGTAGATCTTGTTATATATGTATGTTATATATTTAAATCCATTGTTAATTATTTGTTTAATATACTTTTAATTTAGTTTCTGCCAAATACTCTTAAATGATATTTTGTAGTTTCATCTTCATAGCGTGGATATTGTTTTATTTATACATATATAAATAAGCATAATGAAGTAGTTTTAGGTAAATTTTAGGTACACTAGCAAGTTTATTAAAATGTTAGAGATTTTTAAAAAAATAATGATTGCTTATCACCAAAGGGAAAATCTGATAAAGAAGTAGATTATTATGTATTTATTTTTTCTGATCTTGAAATTTTTTGTCATTTGACGATTTCTGAAATTGCTGCTGGAGCAATGCTTGTCTTTGGGTGCAGCGTTGGGTTCAGGCTTCAGTTTGTAGCGACATGCTAGCAGTTTAAGCACGGAGAGAGAAGGCCAGTCTCAGGCCTTGTGTATTCAGCCACAGTCAGACCTGCATGTGCTTCAACCCGCTAAACCAGTCTTAGCACCTGCTGTTCTAGAGTAAGAAAAACCAAAACTGGACAGTAAAGTTGCACCGCTACGGTTACAGCCGTTGAGGGCTACAGCCCCGTGAATTTTTACAGTTAGCTTTTGAAATGCTCTTTATCACTAAATGAACCAAATCACACATCGGATTTGGGCCCTCGACGATCGGAATAGTCTAGTCCTGCACTAGACTTTAGAAATAAAATTAATATTATAGAATATATTATGCTGAATATATTATGCTGAAGAAAGTGGCAAGAATATAGCAGTCTAAGATTCTAAGGTTGCACAGAAAACTTAACTAATTCAGACCAACAGAGAATGCCCTTGCTACAGCTAACAAGTAGATACACATTCAGGAGTCTTTTGAGGATATGAAGAATAAGACCTCATCTTTCTTGAAAGATGCTTTAATAAATGCATTATGGGTTGTTTTTTTTTTTTTATACATTACCTTCACCTTTGTGCTATCTATTCCATCTCCTCACCACATCTTTATGGTGGTGATGCTTAGAAAAATCAGTCGATCATGGTGGTCTATGCTAATCATTCAACCTTTTATGTTCAGTAGTTAGACTTTTTTTATACCAAAGCTGGCACAAAGCATGTGAGCTCGTTGCATACCGGGATGCTCAGTATAAATGCTGGTACATTGTCCGTGGTTGGGAGTTTGTAACAAACAGTGGTTTGCTACTGGGAATCACTCCTGACTTCTGTATCGGAATGCCAGACACAGGGAATAAAGGTACAATGCCTTTTGTGGTATTTAAAACTTCAGGATGGAACCATCTTTATGGGACTGGTTTATTGGACTAAAATGTCCTTCCTGGATTTATATTGAAAATGTAATTCTGCAGAAGTCTTTATGGGTAATGGCTTCAGATAGGTTAGAAGTTAAGAAAATGGTTGAAGCACGGTGTGGAGAAAGTGTACGCTTATGCATTACTTGCTTCAATAAATTATGCAGCCTGTTGAAATGCCTGTTAATTGCATTTTTTTTTTTTAAATGTTAGGAATTTATCTTGACTGACTTAGCTCGGTCATTCGGGAGAGACTCAGAGTAGAGCCGCTGCTCCTCCGCATCGAGAGGAGCCAGATGAGGTCAGGATGCCTCCTGGACGCCTCCCTGGTGAGGTGTTCCGGGTATGTCCCACTGGGAGGAGGCCCCGGGGAAGACCCAGGACACGCTGGAGAGACTATGTCTCTCGGCTGGCCTGGGAACGCCTCGGGATTCCCCCGAGGAGCTGGATGAAGTGGCCGGGGAGAGGGAAGTCTGGGTTTCCCTGCTTAGGCTGATGCCCCTGCGACCCCACCCGGAAAAGCGGTAGGAGATGGATGGATGGATGGATGGATTTAGATACATCCACCAAGCTTCTCTTGAGTAACATGCTCTATTCTTCTTGCTCACTTTCTTTTCCACAGCCTATTTTAAACATACTGTACAGAAATTTCATCCATACCATCAGTGTTATTAGAATTAAGTGGCATCAATTAAAATGGAAATGACAATGTATTTCCTAAAACCAGAAATATTACTGCTGTCAGGGGCCAATGTGCTGATTATGATAGCGCATAGTTTCTATGTGCGATATTTAGCCTAAATAATTGAATTAATTACATTTATACAATAAGCATTTATTAAATAGATTATATGAAATTATAGAAAGGTTAAAATTTGTGTTTTCTGACACAAAAACTGTCCAAAAGATCATATTTTATTGATGTCTACTGCATAACTCATTACTCTTTTATACGGGGGGAAGGGAGTACTTAACCTATGTAGGTTATTATTTAATACCTATATAGTCTGTAGGTATTACAAACTACCTCAGCGCTTTTGATGTATCTAACTTAAGATTTATAACGGAATAATAAGGATTTGAGCGTCAGAATCTGAAAGCGTGAGTGTCACGTCAGATGTGTAAGAGTTAGCAACCATGAAGTGACCGGTGGCTCGCCGTGATCGTATAGTGGTTAGTACTTTGCGTTGTGGCCGCAACAACCCCGGTTCGAATCCGGGTCACGGCAGATCACAAGTGACTGTTTTGGGGAAGGGTGACTGGTTCTAAGACTGTGATGGAAGGTCGCCGATTCAGATCCTATGTTCTGCAGAATAGGACTCCGGTGAACCCTTCAGCAAGGCACTTAACTTAATTACCCACCCGAAAAATGCTCTAGGTGCCGGATAACGATTCAAAGATTTATAAATGGCTGACTGTGCGCTCAAACCCAAAGCTTCACTCACTTATATGTATATGTATGACTCAAAATAAGACCAAGATTGGATCTGAAAAAAATACATATTCCGGCTTACCTATACTCCTTGTGCAAATGACATTTAAAATATCTCGTTTCATTATGTACGTGCGCCTAAAGAGCGCGCGCAACCTTTGGCTGACGTCACCTCGTTAGAATAAGGGGCGGGGATTGCAGCGGGCGCTCCATCCGGGACCTTGGCCTGACCCGTGACGTAACCCATCAGCAGAGCAAACATGGCGCAGGTAAGGGGGAAAGTCAGATAAATATTCTCGGTGATAGCTTCGAGTTATCATAATGTCGTCTTACGAATTTGTCAAATGGTTTTGTAAGGGAACTGAACTGGAAAAATATTTGTGTATTTCAAATTTTAGCGTTTATTTTAATATTGCGAACACTTGTTGCATTTTTACAAATGTTAATTAAAACTTCTGTCTGTAGGCGGAAAGCTAGCTTATTGGGTAACTTAACTGTGTTGGTAGTAATATTAGTGTAACTAGTCATTCAAGTTAGATTGCGCCAAATAAGTAATATGGTAATTCATTTTTAATGTGGCAATCCTGCCTAGCTATCGATGTAGCTTTGCGTATATTTGGGTATTTATTATTTAGTTATTATTATTTACGGTAGGAAAATATATGTTTGAAAATGTTATTTATCCGCATAGCAGCAGTTGCAAAGTCCGGGTTATTTGCTTCAAGCGCACAACTTTGGTAGCTTACTGTGTGTGTCGGCTAATACTTGTGTAGCTACCAAGTTGAGGCGCGCTTTTCCATCTCAAACTTCCAGTTTCATCCACTAGGCCGGCGACTCGTCCTCTGCACTATGCGGGCAATCGCCTTCCACACATTTCCTGCTCTCTTATTTCGTTTAAATCTATTAATTTAGCTATAAGTTTTGCCAGCGTAGCGGCCAGCTGTGTGTGGATATTTCTGTCTAAAATGGATGGTTAGCATGGTTAGTATTTCTTAAGTATTTTTATTTATATGCAGCGAGTTGGCTAATAGATATGTGTCTTTTTCTTTTAGCCCTCCTTTGGGAATTCGAGTCCAGGTAAACATGTTTAAAGTTATGTAATTGTGGGGGGAAAATACAACCTTGATTTGTGTTTTTGATAAAATGGGTGAAACTATTATCAAAACTTTACACTTTAAATTTCCTGGCCTTTTTCTTACTTACGTTAGTTGTGTTTATATTCCGTACCGTGACATGCATACATGTTGGAAAAACTAACCTATTAGCGGTTTTTCTTGTATGGTGCCATATGATTAATTTATGTTTGTAAAACTGTCAGGAGGTTCAGCTGGCTCAGATGACCATGAGTTTGACCCATCTGCTGACATGCTTGTTCATGACTTCGATGATGAGCGGACCCTGGAGGAAGAGGAGATGCTGGAGGGAGAGACAAACTTTACCAGTGAGATTGAAGATCTTGCTCGGGTGAGTGGCATCTGATCATGATATCAGGTTATTACCAGAGATGGATAGTTCCGGTCCAGAAAGTAAAAATCCAGACCAAGATTTTGTTTCAGCCAATCTTTTGAGCATAAAGAGTCAATCACAGAGTACGCAACTGTTTGGTCGAAACAAAACTTTGGCCTGGATTTTTACTTTCTGGACAGGAACTTTCCACCTCTATAAATTTTCCTGGTTCTCTTTGCAATGAAATGGTTAGACGTGTTGCTGCATGTTGCCATTATGTCACAGCTAATTTAATGGTGATGTAAATTTTATTTTTGTGATAGGAAAGGGATATGCCCATACAGGAACTGTTGAGTCTGTATGGTTATACAAGTGGTGGGTCCCCTGGGGGTGAGGAAGACGAGGAGGAGGAGGAAGATGAGGAGGAGGAGGATGATTGTGAGGAAGAGGAGTATATTGAAGATGTGGATAATGATGAGAACAGCAGAAGTGGGGAACTCAATCGGAACCAGGTTTGTGATGCAGTGGCAGTAGTAGGTCGTCTGGTGATTAAGTACATGGGGAATGTTAATGTTGCTTGTCCTAGTCTCAAAGGGGGCCTTTATATGTTATTAAATACCTCTGAGCACTTTTCTGGCTGTGCTTCATTAGATAAAAATATCTAGTTGTATGACTGAATAAAATTTAATGTCACCCTGGGTGGAAAATATTGCCTAAATAAGGAAGTTAAGATGTGTGTGTATAAAAAATAAATAAATAAATAAATAAAACATAGACCTTGGTTATAATTGAGCTTTTCGTGCCTTGTTCTTGATCTGAATTTCACAAAGGAATAAAAGTCTGAAATTTCAGAATGCTGAAATTTAGGATGCTATTTTTTTTTTGCATAAATGTCATTATGTGAGAACTGCCTGAAGACCATTAAAGCAAACTTATCTCTGGTCTTTGTTTCTGGGGTTTCAGGATGAGAGAGTGAAGGATTCTGGCCTGGAAGATGACACCCAGCCGTCCAATGACGAGCGTTCTCAGTCTGCAACATCTCGAGACAATGCAGAGCTGATCCGCCCACGGAGATGCAAATACTTTGAGAGTATGTAGCTTCAAGTCAACAGTATTGTTATGGCCGTCGTCTTTAAGGTGACTAGAAAACAATAAAATGGCCGACCATTCCTGTTAAATTCCACAAGCAGGTCTGTTATATATGAAGAAGTGGACTCTTCATTTTCCAACAGTGGTGTTTTGTATTTCCAAGTGACTCCTGACTGTCGTGCAAGTAAAAGTAGATTTAAAATAGATTTCCTCTGAAGGAAGTGTTTTGTTTAAGGTAATGATGTTGAGGAGGAATCTGAGGAAGATGAAGACTATATTCCTTCTGAAGACTGGAAAAAGGTAACTGTGTATTTATGCTGAGAGATAAAAAAAAATAAACCAGGACATCAAATTGTTTTCAAATTGTATTTTAAAGAAATGAATCATGAGGGTGTGTTTGGATCTTCAGGAGATTATGGTAGGATCGATGTATCAGGCGGAAATGCCATCTGGACTTTCCAAATATAAAGAGAATGAAAGAAGTAAGTGTTCTTTGATATGTTTAATATTATTGCTGTTTATATCTCTTGGTATTTAATCTAGCGTGAGACTGGTTTGAAAAAACATTTTTGCTCTGTAGAAGCCCTGATTTCTGCTCTTGCCTGTAACAAATTCCGTTTTGCTTTTTCCTTGCCTATAGTTTATGAAAACGATGATCAGTTATTATGGGACCCAGAGCTCCTCCCAGAGGAGGACGTGGTGGAGTTTTTGGTAGAAGCCTCCAAGCGCACAGGGGAAGAGAAGGGAGTGGATGCCATCCCAGAGGGCTCTCACATCAAGGACAACGAGCAGGTACCGTCACTCCAGAAGCTGCCCTCCTGTGCATCACCTGCACCAGTCATCACAGAATGGGCCAGAACATATTTTACAGTGATTTTCTTATCACTGATTATTAAAAACTGTTGAATTTACAGAACACTAAAATGATGCTGCAATCCCCATCGCTGTGCGTCATGTCAGGAACCTGCTGAAAGCAACTGCGTTGTTAAGGAGGATTGAATTGGGGTTCCTTCGTGGTGATTATTTACATGGTTTTTGTGGCTTGTGTTTATCTTCAGGCCTTGTATGAATTAGTGAAGTGTAATTTTAACACTGAAGAGGCTTTGAGGAGGCTGAAGTTTAATGTGAAAGCAGCCAGAGGTACGGACTGATTTTATGTCTCAGTGCATGTTGTATTTGTGAGTGTGTGTATGTATGTATGTATGGGCTAATGAGTGTGATGATGTGTCATTTTTTAATTTTTTGCACAAATTTTTACAATTTTTGAAGCCGTTAGTAATTGGGTTTTGAAGGGGACTAGGAGAAACATTATTTATTTTATTTACAGTATCATCACTGTAATGAAACTAAGCGTTTTCCCACGTCTTCCTTGCTACCACAGAAGAGCTATCAGTTTGGACAGAGGAAGAATGCAGAAATTTTGAACAAGGATTAAAAGCATATGGGAAAGATTTTCATTTAATACAAGCAAATAAGGTAATTATTCACACCTTTTATGCTTTTTTTTGACTATTAGAACAAGTAATAAACAAACTGATTTACATATACTGTGATTATCTTTGTCTTAAATTTTCATTTAATACAAGCAAACAAGGTAAATATTTGCAGCGTTTTATGCTTATTCTGATCATTAGAGCAAGTCATAAAATGATCTGTTAATGACATTGACATGTACTGTCATTGTTGCTTAAATATTTCTATGAGCACCTAATGCATGAATGTCTTTAAATCATTTTTATGTAAATCTAAGTGAATTATACCTTTTCTTTGTCTAGAATAAGGAATTGCATCCATTATTTTAACAAATCGATTTTATGTCTGCTCTGTGATATGGATTGTATACTAATTTAATCTGTTTTTATTGAAAAATAACGCTACATTTGTCCAAATGTTTTTCTAATGCTGATTTTTTTTCTTAGGTACTGGTTATCTCATATCTGATCAATTAACTTTTTCAGGTGAGAACTAGATCTGTAGGGGAATGTGTGGCCTTTTATTACATGTGGAAGAAATCTGAGCGTTATGATTTCTTTGCACAGCAAACCAGACTTGGGAAAAGGAAATACACTCTTCACCCAGGTGTTACGTAAGTGACTTTAATGAAAATGCTGCTATACGGGTTTATTGACTGTTTTGGTAACATAAGTTAGTAAACAACCTTAAGTTGTTTTACGATAGTTGAAACCTTTCACCATCGGCTACTGTCGTTACGAAGTTGCGTCAATGTTTCAATCCGTACCGACCGTGGTAATATGGAGCAGCTTGAGGCGCTATGCAGCAGCGTTTTGTCAGCGTTGGCGATGTGAATGTGGGCGTGGCTTGCAGTACCACAGCACAAGCAGTAAACGGGGTCCACCCTGCCCTTTGCAGGGACTATATGGACCGGCTGCTCGACGAAACGGAGAGCGCTGCCTCTAGCCGAGCGGCTTCTCCGCCGTCCACCACGCCCAACAGCAGCACCGGTCAGTCCGAGAAAGATGACAGCAGCAACCAAAACGGTGAGCCCCAGCGGGCGGGGAACGTGCAGCAGGGGGCGCTGTGCTTTATCTGGGCTGGAGCGAGAATGAAGGAAGTTTAGTAATACCATGCATGCATCCTACTTCTGACTGCTTATTCTGGTCAGCGCCTTGGGCGGGGGGGGGGGGAGCGCCCCAACCCTATTCCCGGCAGCACAGGGCAAAAGGCCAGGGTACACCCTGGACCACATTCCATTCATAGTTACACTAATAATACTTAGTTGTAAAATGGGTTATGTTGTTCTGTAGTATTCAAGTGAGATTATATGTGCATGTGTCTGCTTTGAAAGCACATAGTTCACGGAAAAAGATCAGTTTTTATGGGGTTCAGAGCTTTTTCCGATAGTCCCTTCTTTCATGCTGAATTTGTTCATGAGTCGGTTTCTGTTGTCACAGGGCTTGCGAGTCACAGTGCAAGTGACTCTCAATCCGGCACTAATGAGAGCCAGTCAAACAGACCGGTCCCGCACCCGGACCAAGCGGCACTGGACAGAGAGCCCAACGGCTGTGATGGGGCCGAGGCCATTGGTGGCAGCAGGAATGGCTCCGTGGAGGGTGCCGACGCCAGTCCTGAGAAGCTCGCCAAGAGGCGGAGAGTGGAGGTCGACCTGCAGGGGGCGCCAGAGGAGGACTGAGCGAGCTTAAGCCAAATGGAACTGGCATCACCAGCACAGACGTGTGGATCTGAGGCACTGAGACACGCAGGCCATTCCCCCCCCCCTTTTTAATATCCCAAAGTAACGCAGCTACTTTAATGCTGAAGAAAACTCATTTTTATTTCCTTTCGAGGGACCTGTTGAAATTTATACTGAAATTATTCTCCTGTTTCTAATAGAAATTGTCTGTAATATTTTTGTATATGGAAGATATTTATATTTTTACGGAAGCTAATCAGCAACCACGAGCTTAACCCGGATACCGGTTACGAAGGCAGACGGCCAGTTTGGTGGCAGCTGGCAGGACACCACACGATGGAGGGGGGGTGGCCCCCGTCAGGCGGGCAAGACCGCGCCTCCCCAGAAACACCATGTTGCACTCTCTTTTATTTATTTTTCTTTTTTTTTTTTTTTGCTTGGAGCGTGAAGCTAGTGTCTTGGCTGTGAGGCCGCGCTGGTGGATAAGCTCCGAGTCCCGGAAGCTGAGCATGCGCCGTTTCTCTTTAACGAGCCAGACGGGACCCGCCAAGGTTGGTTTGTGTGAGCATATTGACATCAGTGATGTCCTCCGTGTGTGTGCGTGCGCGCGAGACTCATTAGGGGGCAGTTAGAATAAAGCTGTATTTTTCCACTTCTCCAGTCCGATTTGCTGTTTTCTCTTTCAGAAGTACATATTGAGTCATTTTCTGTGAAGTTTGTACAGATTTATTTTCTACTGTTCTTACACATTTTATAACCAAATTGACAAGTGTGCGTAATTCAGACTAGAACTTGTTTCCTCCGCTCCGTCCAGCTGTGGATTGTTTTGCTGTTTTTGGCCCATAGTTATTGGCGCATTGTGTGTGGGGTATTTTTCCCTTTTTGTGTGTTCTTTTCATTTGGAGAGCTTCCCCTGAAACAGGGCTGTGTGCTGTCACACCTTCAGCTGCCCCGGTCAGAGCGGCTGGCTGTGATGCTCTAGCACAGGGTTTTTCCAAGCCCGGTTCACAGTATCAATCCCGGTAGGCAGGTGGGAGGGACAATAAACGTGGACTGGCTGGGGGTCTCTGAGGACTGCTTCGGGCTTCCCATATGCTCACAAAACTTAGTTGGAGTTTCTGCTGCTGTTCTTCTGAGTGTGTGAGTAGCACCTGTTCTGTACTCACTTTCAAGCGCAAACACTTAACATGTGTTTTGTTCTAAAGCTTTAACCGTGAGAAGTGGGTGTTGTTTTGATCTCTTCCCCCCCCCCTTTCCATTCTTACAAAAAGATGGCATTGTGCTTTTATCAAAAATAAAAACGTTGACGTGCAGGTTTGGTACAGAGTGTGCTCATCTGTCTGATCTCCTGCTGTGTGAGAGATAAGCAGTTTTTAGTAAAAGGGACAGAGTTGTGCAATGCAATCTTTTAAAAATCATCCCCCCCCCCCCCTCCCCCCAAAAGAAAATTTGAGCACTTGCTGTTTTTTTCTTTCTTTTTTGGATTTACAGTGCGGGATGTAGTTTTATACTTCAACGTAAGGGTGGTTTGTTGGGAGTTCTGTGCCCTTCAGAAAAACAATCAAATGGCCACAATATGCATAAAAGTTGCATTTTCGTAGCGCTTTACAGAAGCCACTGTGCAGCCCCCACCTGGATGGTATGATGGCACCCATTCCACTCACCAGTGGCTGAGGGGGCCCCACAGTGGGTGATTTTAGCCCAGATGTTGGGGTACCTCCAAGGATCCAAATCTCCACCATTTTACACCACCTCTTCCAGCAGCAACCCAGCTTTCCAAGTTGGTCTCCCATCCAAGTACTAGCCAGGCCCAAACCTGCTTAGCTTCAGGGAGATTACCAAGCCTGAACTGCAGGTGCTATGGCTGCTGGCAGAAAATGAGCACTACAGCAACACTCCTAATCCTGAATTCCTTCCAGGTAAAACTGTCTTGCTTTTTCATTACACACGGGTGCAGAATTTAATCTACAGTGAATGCTGAAGGTAATTTTAGTTAGACGTGGGGGGGGGGAAAGCAGTTTAATAAAGGCACTTTATTCTGCACAACATGTACAGTCAGCTCCCTTTACAGCCCTGTAACAAATCATCATACTGTGGCGACCCAGTTCAACTGAAACACAAAAACTTATCCGTTACAGTGAGAGGAATACAATAGCCTGGTAGCCATATAATCCATCTCTGTATGTAAAACAGGTATGTGGTAAGGTAAAGAACCTGTTCAAATGGCCACTGCAAGGTAATACAATTTAGTCTTTGAGAATGGCAATACAATTTTACAGTTAACTGAACAAAGTCTACTAATTTATATTAAAATACACTGTCATCTGGTTCACACTCTGCTCATATAGATGGTGTCAAACATCTGTAATTTTGCAATAGCTTTAATTTGTCTACAATACTATGGAAGTACCCGCGTTTTACAAGTCGCCATGAACATGAAGTCATTTCAATTTGCAACTGCCAGGTGGCGCTCTCCATTAAGGCATCTCTGTTGAAATAAAAGGTAAACATTTGAAACACTTGTCATATGTCGTTTACTTCAGCCACCTACTGTATGCAGTCGATAAAGGTGCGTTGAACCAAACAATGCTAAGATGGCTATGCTAATACTGTTAAACAAGAATTATAAAAAGCTAACAAAAAAATGCTCAACCAGTGCTGCATTGCTGCAGCTTTTCAAGCACATTTTTAAACAAATTGTGCCGTATTTAAGTCACAGTACCATGTAAACATGCAGGCATTGCACACGCGCACATCAAACCATGCACAGCCTCACATATTCAGTTGAATCATTCAGCTTATCAGGAATCATTCTTGCACTTTCAAAAAATGTGGGGTGGGTGAGGAATATCAGCCCCCCCCCCCTTACAAGGACAAACAGACATTATGAATACCAAACCATTTTTTTACATCTATGATAAATCACAATACATTTGTTCCATTTAAATAACTATAGCTTTCATATATTTAAAAAGACTATTAAAACACATCTACCATGTCACAAACATGGTTAGCAAGAACTGGTCCCAAAATGCCCTATTAAAATGGTAAACAGATCAGGAATGACCCAACACATATTCCTTTGTTCCAAAGAAGAAGGGAAAAAAAAACAGTAACACTATATGCTTTGCCTTGTCCTTAGGCCAAGTTCTGTGCGTAATGGGTAAGGAGTGTCTCTCAGATTGGCTACTTGAAGGTATAAAAATGAGACAACAAAAAGTACAGAACCACATGTACCAAAGCACGTACAACCCAACCTTTAAGGTCATACAGCTATCTTCCCTTTTACTTCCAGTTTGTTGGTGCTTTCGTTTTGCTTACTTGAGTGCTCTTCTGTGAAGGTGATGTATGAGTAGACCAGGCTTCCGACGATACTGTACAGCAAACAGTGAGACGTTCATCAGCACAAGGGCCAGTCACAGCGAGAAACGGGACGCTGTCCCGCTGCCCCCCACCCCTGCCCCCGCCAAGCACAGGAGAGCTGTAAAACACAGCCAGCTGAAGGCTGTAAGCATTTATCTATTCTTTCAAGGACACCGGAGAGAAAACAGGACAGCCTCCAGCTTAGCAAGCCACAACATGGTCAGTGTATGAGATTCCACAGAGGCGGATTCCCACTATATTAACCAGAGACATTTAAAAATCCTTCAACATGCCTTTCCTTAAGTGATTTCAGTATTCACACCTGAAACATTTCCTGAGACAAAAGGACAAGCTACCAGGATAAGTTTAATAAATGACCAATACCATATTTTACATGTCTCATCGCCTGCCTTGAAAGATACTGCAGCAACTGCATTTAGATGATAAATTAACAAACGATGGCAGCGGCAAATGAAGAATAAGTATGAGAAGCCACTAGGATGCGAAAAAAAACCACATTTCCCGACATAAATGCCTAGTTAAGATCTTTATTTACAAACAGCCATGATATCCTATATCCTCTAAGCTATGCTACTCTCTAACATCAAGTCCCAACGCAGCTCAAATCTTATCTACCTTGCTCAGCAAAGAGACTTGCAAGCTTCGGCTACCGCAAAACAGTAAAGGAAGACTCAGACTACTATTCGCAGGGCTTCCAATTTCATTCATTCTTCCAGACGTAAACATGCATGTGTGGGTCATGTGATGCATACCTTATGTTTAGACCAATGAAATTAGTCCATGTGAATATGTAGTCTCCTCCAAAGACCATCCCGATATACGTTACTAAAATATTCTGGCAATGAAAAAAGCAAAATGAAGATATATCCAAAAAAGACATTAGAAAAAACTGAAATACTGAATTGGACACAAATGAAGATAGTGAATAAGGAAGAACTTACTTTTATACAGCCTACGATTGTTGTCGTCAGTGCAGAGTTGTACTGTGTACAGAGCACTATGGAGTACATTAAAATAAACCTAAAAAAAGATAAGGTTAGTTCAGAATTTCCTATCTTGATTTATATCTCAATAATATCCTCAATAACTATCTCTCTGGAACACAAGTCTGTTGTACCCTGACCTCAGCTATACTCAGAATCATTTTTCACCACTAAGTAGGACACTTTCAGTGATACTCGTGCATGCACTTATACATGTCCTGTTTTGCTAAATGTACTTTCTATTGCACTGTATTTTATTTTTTAAATCTACTGACACTTACGGGCCATAAAAGGCATTTCCAAGAACCACAATATCAATATCAGAATTGTGTTATTAGGCGGACGCTGGGCACAAAGCAAACCACGGCTCAGTGACATTCCTGGAATATCGTTTTAAATATTGTCAAAAATACTACTGCTGTAATATTAAATAATAATAATAATACTTACCCCATGACACAAGAGAGCACAAACTGGCCCACAAAAAAAGCATCTGACCAACCCTCAAACTCCACAGCCTAAAACAGAAAAGAAATGTTTATCCATTTATAATAAAAATATAAGTTTAAAAGCACCAAAAATGTAATGTCCAGTCCAACATATGCTACATTACTCATACTGAGGTAAGGTGATGGAGTAAGAGAATGGGGACATTTGCCAAGTGGTAATCGTCTTGGAACCATCCCAGTTCTGCAGCAGGAATTAAGACTTGAGTCATTTTCCATTTAAGCTGAGCTACAGTGGCCAGCAGCCAAGCAGTGGATCTGTTTATTTATTGGTTTTCATATGACTGTTTCAGACCAGTTCCCTGTCCCCTCTGGGCTGTCCTGGACCTGTCGTCCCTGGAAAGCAGTGAGTACAGCGTGGCAGGACCAGGAAGGCAAGACTACACACGCCTCTGTCCTACTGAAACCTGACATGGCACAGACTGGTAGCACTGAAAATCATAACTTGTATGACATTTTAAATATATGCATATTACACACGAGTGCTGCGAGCTTCAAGTTTTCCTTCATTAACTACAGTTACGGGTATAATAGCCACTTTGTTCACAGGCCCAGCATCTGCCTGAGGTTTTTCCTGAAGAGGTCCCAGCAGAACAAGCTGGAACACAAACTGCCTCTAAGATTCAAAATTTGATCTGGGCTTTCAAATTTACACGGACTCTCAAATATGTTTTGTAAAAGAAAGTTAAAATGACAATCAGATGTAAATTCTCCTTCACAGTTTTATTCATTATTACATGCTTTGATTCATTTGTTGTTGAATATAATAAAATTACTGCAGAAGATCATTTATATTTCACATACTTCCCATTGGAACTGGAGAACCATACACTGCATGAACTGCTATTAATGACACCAGAACCTCTCCACTAACCATTGGGTACTACCCCCCTAAACTCTGGCATTAGTGAGAGACTTAGACAGTTTGGATTGCTTTATGTTACTGTGCAAAAGTCTTAGGCAGTTAAAAGAAATGCTTAAAGCTATTTATCTGAGTAGTAAGTGCACATTTGCTCAGAAGAAAAAAAGAAAATTTAAGATTAGAATATATGCAAGTTACACGATAAAGACCAGTAAGAATTTCTTCGGTTCTCCAGAGTTCTCCAGTAAATCCAAAGTTACTGATATCTTGTTGGATGGCAAGATCACTGCTTTGGTTCCAAAATCTCTCCTCTGGGGAACCTCAGCCATCCCATTCATTTATTACGTTTCCCCACCAGCTCATTTAATTAATGAATTTAATTAGCTAATCAATATTACACTGATTGACTTTACTTAACTAAGCAAGGTGTGCGAATTGTTGAGTAAAAAAATATATATATCACATGACTGTATTGGCTGGATGAGGCAATTACTGGGGTGATTTTAGCGGAAGATTTGAAATGGCTAAGCTAACAGACTTTAACATCATAGTTTTACACCAATATAAAGGTCATTTAAACATCATTTTCTCTGGCTGCCTAAGAGTTTTGCGCACTTCTGTACATATCCAGGTATATTTAGATTAGTCACTTTAAAGACACACCCGTTATACGGCTGCATGAGCAACTTAGATCTTACTAATAATGTATGTAAAAATGAGTAAAGGTCATAAATTCATTTTGAAACTAAAAATCCAGGTCAAGAAAATTAAACATGAGAACAGACTCACCTTTTGTATGTCGCCGGTGAGATATGCTAAGAGTAGTGTTGGCGCGAGCATAAATAAGGCATTGTAGTACAGCAGCCCATATCTGCCCAGCTCCTAAGGACATAAATAAGGCATTGTAGTACAGTAGCCCATACCTGCCCAGCTCCTAAGGACATAAATAAGGCATTGTAGTACAGCAGCCCATATCTGCCCAGCTCCTAAGGACATAAAAAAGGCATTGTAGTACAGCAGCCCATACCTGCCAAGCTCCTAAGGACATAAATAAGGTATTGTAGTACAGCAGCCCATATCTGCCCAGCTCCTAAGGACAGAAATAAGGCACTGTTGTACAGTAGCCCATACCTGCCCTGCTCCTAAGGACATAAATAAGGCATTGTTGTACAGTAGCCCATACCTGCCCAGCTCCTAAGGACAGAAATAAGGCACTGTTGTACAGTAGCCCATACCTGCCCAGCTCCTAAGGACATGGACAAACGTTAGTTATTGAGAGACACTCAGCAGCTCAGATTAGCCCAACCAGCTGTCATTGCACACCCCAGTAATTATCAGCTCAATTAAGCTCATGCACAGCGCAAACGTGGTCGTATCTAGATAGGGACCATTAAACGCTGAATCGTCCGGGCCTCTTATCTGTGAGGTATTAAAGTTATTGGATTTGCCCGATCTCTACCATGACAAACAAGCTCAGAAAATGTGTTTGGGTCTTGGGGATAATGGGACTCCTTATTATGTTTCTGCACAGCTGTGCGTGAAGGGCTCGGGAAATTCATAACGATAATAACGTCACATTTTATTCTCCCACAATGTCACAAAGGGCAAGAAGTGGGGCAGTGGTGGCCTAATGGTTAGGGACGTGCACTTGCAATTGAAAGATTGCTGGTTCGAATCCCTGACCATTTTTCGTGGACATTTTTAGTCTTTAAATGGTGGTTTAGATCAATGCTACCGACTTAAATTCATCGCTCTGTTATGTGGCAGTTTGTCATTTATGTGGAACCAAATGAAATTTCCCAAACACATACTTTCTCATTTCTCGACTGTTGAGAGAGGTGTCATGGCTGCTTCCTGTTTGCACGGTATGTATTCAAAATGACTGCAATGATGCAGTTGCATTGCGGCTGAGTAGGTAGCACTTTTACTTCACACCTCCAGAGTTAAATCTCACATGCGCTCTGGCACATGTGTCACTAAGTGTGTGTGTGTGTGTGCGTGCGTGTGCACTCTGCAATGCACCGGTCGTTCCATTCAGGGTATATCCTTGCTCTGTGCTCCCCTGGATAGGCTCCAGGCATCCCTGACCAGGATAAGCACGAGAGATAAAAAAACTGTAGAGCCGATGTTCTGTGCCCTAATTCACCAGGTGTATTTGTTAAGGGAGGGGAAATGTGTACTCGGAGCTGCACAGTGCTGATGTACAGATCCACTTCTTGAGAAGGAACAAGCTGGATATCTGGAACATTTTTTTCAGTTTTTTTTCTATTTCTCTTGATACCCACTCAATTTAGATCTTGGAATAACACAAATTCTTTACACCGACTTTGAACATGACGTTCATATTCTGTGATGCTCCAGTTGCAGATCCCAGAAGTTCTCGATTTTACCAAAAAGCAGAGCAAACCCCAAGAATCATACAGCTTTGGGAACAGCGTCAGATCTACTTATGACATATCGATTGCTTATTTGATGTCGGGTGTTTATGGCAGTTTGATATAAAACTAATCTTTTCAAGAGTCATTGTTTTATTTTTTTACCATTTTCTCATCTCATAACCAGCAGTTTATGTACTTAGCCAATAAATCTGTCCTAGCCTATGGCTGGGCATCGTTCAAAATTTTCCGATACCAGTACCAGAATAATATCTTGATTTCGATACTGGTTCCTGAATGATACCAATATGTTTTTAGATCAATTTCAACAACAAGAAGAATACATTAAACATTACAGCACAATTTTTTTATTTGAACAAGTCATTTTGTTATTTGTTAGTTACTGGGGGGGATCGATCGCGATAATAATGGGACACAGACTTTTATTTATATTTCACCAGGGTCATCACAAGTCTAGAGTAAGATTACATTTAGGGACGCAGTGTGTGTCTCACAGTCAATGCGTGACAGATGCATTGACTTTTACTGCATCCATCGGATCTTGATCTGCCACTTCCACCTTGTCTGCACCCCGTATTATGTGCGCATCCATGTAATAACGTGCTTGCAGCAGGATGACATGCAACAAATGCTATTTTCTGATTGGCTGACAGGTGGCTATTAATTCTGTCTAACTCGATCGGGACAGCTATGAACTCGGCGGAAAACTGCACTCCATATGCCAGTGCCACATCCGTTAATCCTATATAACAATAATAATAATAATAATAATTGATACTTTATTGATCCCCGTGGGGAAATTGTTTTTACGCCTCCCTCAACTTGCTCTTTGTAGAGCAAGCTGTCCGTGAAGCTGGAGCTGGGGATTGAGGGTCTTGCTCAAGGACCTGCAGACGTGCTGAGGCTGGGCTTGAACCGGCGACCTTGTGATTACAGGCACACGGCTTAGCCCACTGAGCCACACGCTGCCCCCTTGGATAACAAGACACCTTGGATAACAAGACACCTTGGCGTTATCCCTTACTTCTGTGTTTGAACTGGTTGAAATGCGCGTGTCTCACGGTCAAGGTGTGAAACTTGAGAGCCCTGATTTTACTTATACAACCCGCAACATGTTTATAGTTCATAAGTAAATCTGGCCAGCAGATCAATCTTTCATTTTTTACTGAATAAAAAACAACGTAACGTTATTCCGGTGTGCTGATAAGTTTCACTGCCAGCACTGGCTGGAGATGCAGAAGAAAGGTATTCAGTCTAACTGAGGTACAAACATACAGTAATACCATCTACTGTGTCTTTTTTTCTGCGCTTCTGCATAAATTCCATGTTAGTGCCAGTGCTTGCGGTCAAGCAATCAGCAAGTTTATCACTACAAGCACCTCCACAGTAGTGCCTCCGAGGACCTGGAATCAGTCCGAGGTCCGATGATCTCGCTCACGCACACATGCGTACACAAACACACCGATTCTCACTCTCTCCGCATGTTTCACATGATATGAGGGGCATATTTGGGCATAAAGTCGCACTGGTGAGTCTAGTTATAAAAATATCGGTCTGAGGCTACCCCTGTACTTTCATATGTAAAATCTGGAACTTGTCCAGTATGAATTAACCTACTATCATGGTCTGCGATCTTGAAATAGTGGACATCTACTTGCCTTGGAGTCAAGCTTCTGCTTCACGTATGCTCCATTGGCTGCGGTCAAGACATCGTTCAGCAGAATGAACACGTACCCTTGCAGGTCAAAAGCCAAATCAGCACTGTGAAAAGAAAACAAAGCAGATGTGCACACAATACCCACATATGTTATAACATAGGTGCCGTCTATGTCTAACCTTCTGCATGCAAATGGATGGATAGTCACACACTAACGGCACGGTGATCTCACCTTGCTGCCACAAAAGCCCCCAGAATCATTGCAAATACTGTTAGCTGGACAGGCCGAGAGAATTTCTTTCTGCAGAAAGAATGTGAGATGCAGATTTACTACTGTTTCAACTTGCTTCCGTCTCAAATGTAAGCATCTGGTACACTAGAGTAATTCCGGCATTGATCGGTTCACAGAAGAAAAAAAAAAAAAGACACAAATACTCACTTCAAAAGAAATCCCTCTGCTATCATGGTAAAGAGAATGGAGAATCTCCTGAGGACTGTAAACATGGGTAAACTGGGGTGTAAAAGGAAAAAGAAAACACATCAGCACAATGTAACAGCAAAAACCAATACATATTACCACATAAAAGATACACAACCAAGTCAGAAGAGAAAGTGGTTCTTCATAATGGGTTTACACAGCATGCATTAGCCAAAGAGATTCATACTTGAGCCGTTTTGTCCCAAACAATCCTGTTATTTGATTCCCTACATAAAGAAAAGGCAGAGGAAACGTCTGCAAGAGAGAGGAAATATGAAATTATTTTCTGCTGATGTATAATCTGAAAGGCAACAGGCAGTTCTTTAAAATTCTAATCCCAGAAAATATAAATCCAATATCACAAACAAAAATACACACTGCAGGTCATTTGGAGATTTGAAATACATACTGCATTTAGATTTCAGTAAACCATAAAATTACAAACACAGACATCTGGGTAACACTTTACGTGATGGAGCACAAATACTTAGTTATAACTCAGTTACTACTGAAGTACAAATCATGAACAGATCCTGAAGTAATATAGTCGCTACTCATAATTCATTAAAGATGAACAAACATGAGACTTGCGTTATTCATTACTTGTTACTTCGGTAGTTCCTTCAGTGGTTCACCAAGATTCACAGAATTAATAGATATAGTAACAAATATAGTAAGTGCATGATTCATTAATGGTGAAGAAGTGTTAGATCAATATTTAACTTGTGTTATTCACTAATTGTTCCTTCAATAGCTCTTGTAGTAGTTAAGAAAGGTTTATAGAATTAACAGAAATAGTAAAAAAATATATAGTAACTGCTTCGGATAAAACATGCGTCACGATTCATTAACGATGAATTAACATGATATTAGTATGTAACTAAGACTTAGTTTGTGGTCATTTAATACATAAGTAATAGTATATATAATGATATTTCTGCTCCGTCAAGTAAACTGTTTCCAACATTTGTAATACAAGCAAACAGCTCTGGGTCATGAAGGAAAACCTTCAGTGCTATTTCTTCGCCTAGACTGCACCTCTGAATTAAGTAACATCTGGAGACAGCAAGCTCCGTCAAACAAAGCCGCTTTTGACGGGTGCTCGCAGTCTGTAGCCTCATTCACAGGGCGAGGTTATCTAAGAGTGCATTGAACTCTTAAGAAATTACGCCCGTCTTTCCATCTATAAGGAACCTTAAAAATGACCCAAATATAAGTACTGCTGACTGAGTAAATTGTTTTTAAGCATTAAATGTACAGACGGACGTTTCTTTAACCATGACATGTATCAATAATAAATTAATTTTAAGGTACAGCGGCTCACCTTGCGAGGTATGCTTTTGTCGAAATCTGGAAAGTTGATTATTCGGAGTGTCTTTCCACCCCAAAGCACGACTATTGTCGCCAACATCTACAGAAATTAATAAATGAAAAGAGCAACAGCACGTCGGAGATGTTACGTTTTTGTGTTTATACAAAGCCAAGATGACAAGACGACAACCAGAGATTCCAACTTACTTGGCCGATTCCGACACATATCGAGGAGGGAAACCTGCAAATATATAATTATTCGTTTAATACATTAATGTTCACTCACGAAATGTTATAAATGAAATACTACGATATTAATGAGATTCCACCAAGCGCAGAGATACGCAAAACATAGGTTAAAAAGTATTTTAAATATTCTTCAGTTGATAACATCGGAGCCTTTGGAATGTGTGTGACACAAAGCTCCCATGACATATGAAAATAAAATGCGTGACCAAACATAGCGCCCTCTTCACTGTAACTGTATTACATCTGTGAGGGACTCAATAGCTCCTCATGTATGTATAACTGATACTGTGATGCAACCAGAAAAATAGGCAGATTAAGAAATCGTCGTTAGTTTATCTTAGATTAATTATAAGTGTGATTATATAAATTTTCAGTCTGGTGTTCCAAGTTTCACTCGTAATTTGGCCACCTTTAATTGTTGACTACTGTGTGTAATTTTGCCCTCTATATGTGGCTCCATCACAAAATCCCAGGATAACGGTTTAAAACGATCATCCTGCAATCTAAGCACACACCACAAAAAAAAAACCGTTATTTCACATTCGTGGTTGAAATGTCCACATTTGTAAGCTAGCAACGCCGTGCACTCGCCTGTTTCACACTAAGCAGCTACTCTAAAAATATTCAAGCACAGTGACATCCATGCACTTTTAACAAGTGGCTTCAGACGTCACGGCAAAGTCCAAAGTCCAGCAAAAAATGGCTGTCAGTCAGCCCCCTTGGTTACCTGTAATTTGTCAGGACACTTTTGTTCACGACGACGATGAGAAAGGAGCTCAGACCATAAAATCCGGCAGCGAAAAGCTTTAATACCACTGCGAGACTCTCGGCCGCCATCCCCTCGCGCTCATCCTTGTGCTCGAGCCTCCTTTCGCGAGCTTCTCCTTTAACACGAGCATGCTGACGTTTCCGAACTTCCGCCATTGCTGCCAGGCGACGTCGTGGTGACGCGTATCAGCGCGACGCTACCTACGGCTTTAGGAGGACCTCTTGTGGGTAGCAATGGTCGTAGGGCAATGTTAAAATTTTATTTCAAGTAAGAAGAGAAATCAAGACTAAAACAGAAAGGGGAATACATCTCGTCAATATACTGTTGGGTGTTTCTTTTCACATTCTTCGAATTTTCTGCTGAACTCTGAGTACAGAGATTAGGAGACATGACAGATGAAACTGTGCACTGCCCCATATCAGCACTCCTTCTCCCCCATATTTAGCAGCAGGAATTACATATTCAGGCAGGTAGCCTTCTCCTGAGACACCTCAGAGGTGAAGTTTGTCTAGGGTCCTGCATGGGCTTTGACTGGTGCTGAATCCATCAAATCCATATGCATCCATCAGATTGTCCTCCAGATGAGATGATTTTACAGAGAACTCTTGGAAAGTGAATACCTCTGTCAGGGGACTCCAGCAAACAGTGAAAGGACCTCACAAATTGGTGACCAGTATTGACACACCACACAACAACAAAATCTGTCCTCTGCATTTAATCCATATGTGACATTGTGGCATAATTCAGCACCTGGGGGTGGTATTTTGCTCAGGGCACCTCAGTGGTAGCTTGTTGGTCAGGGATTCAAAACAACAATTTTTGAATTATGAATGCACTTCCCTAACCATTAGGCCACCACAGCCCCTTAAAATGCACTTCAGTACCAGAGATGAAAGTATTGTGCAGGCTACTGTTTTGCCAAACTACATGGTATTATAATTTTTTAAAAAGTGAGAGATCAAGATCACGATCAGAGACTCCTCAGAAACATTTTATCTCTCTGTGTTTTCTCTATTTGATAAAGCTCAATGCAGACAGTTAAAGTGAAACTCAGGTTAAGGATGCAAAGATGTGCATGGTTTCGCCTCATTAATGCAGCTGCTGAAATGTGTGTACATCTCCCGTAGGCTGCGATTTACCTTTTCTTGAGTCAGTCTGCATTCCAGTAACTCGGGTCTCACTATGAATCAGATGCTGAATGCTGCTTTCTTTTTAGTGAAGTGTATATTTGGCTTTATAACAGTTCATATACACCTTAAACTGTGCTAAGCGATTTCGCTTCACTACGGCATATATTAAAATTAATAATAATAACAATACATTTTATTTGAAATGCCTTTCAAGGTACCCAAGGACACTGTACAGTAAAAGCAGAACATAAAATATAAAAGTAGTTAGACTATAAACAACAAATAGGTAGCATGTAGAGACAAAGACACACTGATTAAGAGAAACACCAACGCCAGACTGACATCAACCAAAACAAACATAAAATAAATACAAAAGAAAATCTCATAAAAGTCAGGACTAGGCTGAGAAGACCAGAGTGAAGAGGTGAGTTTTGAGCGTGGATTTGAATATGGAGAGTGTGTATGTACATAGTGCAAGTGGGAGGGTGTTCCAGAGTTTAGGGCCAGCCACACTAAATGCCCTGTCACCCATGGAACGGAGATGGGCAGAGGGGGTGGATAGGTGAGCATCGGTAGAGCGTAAGGTGCGGGAGAGTTTGTATAAGGTGAGAAGATCCACCAGGTAGATGGGTGCTAGGTTGTCCTGGGCTTTGTAGATGAGCAGAAGGATTTTGAATTGAATCCGAGATTGTACTGGAAGCCAGTGTAACTGATGGAGGATGGGAGTGAAATGTTGCCATGGACTTGTACGGGTGAGAAGTCTTGCTGCATAATTTTGGATTTGTTTGGATATGCAGTCTGTTTAATGATTTTGATATACGCCAGTATGCACAGTATGAACGCCTTGGTAACGCATATAAAATATCCCTGTATTTTATAGGGTAGATGAGCACGTACTGGCTAAAGCAGCCCAATTAAATGCTTAACTGCAACTTAAGTGGGGAAGCGCGTTGTAACATGACAGACTGCGCCCGCTGTGAAGGGGCCCTAGCGCATTGTAGAGGCTCAAACGGTGGCGCTGAATTTTGCAGGAAGGAAAAGCAGCAGCGGAAGGAGTTAAGACTCGGAAGGAGTCACACAGTTCAGTTTATTATGGCAATAAATAATAGACGGTACTGAGCGCACTCTTCAGGGCTACGCCCAACAAGCATGCTTGGAGCTTATTGGTAGCAAGCACTAGCATTTGGTGTCCAATCGCTGCCCTCCGTGACAAAGACTGACACGCGATTGGTGGAATAGAGGAACGAAGTCTGAAAAGAATAGCGGGACAAGAATAAAGGATCGGTCTAGCGTACTGCCGAAATATCCGTTATAGAATATAACCCGTAGTTTTCATCGTGATTTTACATACAATTTTTAATGACTTTATTGGACGTCACATAAATTCTACATTTAACGGCCAGAAGGGTAGCTGAAGACGATATTTACATATCTAATATAGACTGTCCAATGAATTTTCTCAAAACACTTGCCATAATAAAAATATGAGGTATCTCTACATACAACATATTGTAACGTTCGGCAAACCGAGGCATCGTAGTAGTAGAAATAAAATGAGACAGGTGGAATACATAGATTGTTTTGTTACAGTAGTGTCTCTATGAAGACAAACAGAGGATTTGAACCAGCAACCTTCCAGGAACTGGCACAGAGACCTAGCCTCAGAGCCACAACTCCATCTACAAAGACAATTCGGTGTATATTCCCTTATCTTTCTGCTGGCTCAATATCTGTGTTCTGGGGGGAGGACTGATAACAGGTGGACTGATGAAAGATAAATTTAAAAACCCCATAGCATTTCAAGGAATGGGAAGCACAACCCGCGTCATTTGGAAGTACAATTTGGTGTGTTTGGCAACTTTCAACATGAAAATATAAAGTACAATATATAGAACCTGAGCTTGATTTTGCAAGACAGACATTTAATTTCCATTCATCACTATAAAATTATTTTATATAAATGACGTTTTGTGTATTTTACAATTATGAGACATTTAATTAATAAACCAGCAAATCTATTAAAAGGGACTATAACTTAATGAAAGTTAATCCAAACGCGGATTAGACCCCATTTAAGGGGGTTTCTGACCCCCTATTTTTGTCTCCCCCCCGGAAAAATAGTTTTTCTGAAACCATTTAGCGATTTGTCCCGTGTTATCGTATAGACCTGCATGTCGACACCGGCCCGCTGGCCACATTTTATCTTGGGGGACACGAGGAGCAGCGGTCTGGTTTTTCATCAGGGAGCTGAACCCCCCTAAGGGTTAAATCTTAGAATCGCCCCATCAGCGTTAATATATGTTTTCAATAATTTGGTACATCCATTCGTTTTCCGTAAATGCTAATTATCTAAAGCGGGAAATTAATATGCTTGACCCGATCTGCTTCAATAAAACATCTATAGCCTACGTTTGAGAAAATTGAGGAAGATAAAATTTGGTGGGTGCGGTTATTTGACAAGACCTTCTTTGAAAGACCGTTAAATATCAAGCCAGGTTTCGCTCAAAATACATAGGAAGGCAACTCAGTCCCTGTGAGCCAACTGCACGTGGTAAAACAGGAAACCACAAGGTACTCCGTACTCACTGCATCACACCTTTGAATGCTGTAACACAAACATGGAAAGTTTAAAATGACACCTGTCTAAAAATATAGCTGCGTCAACTTTATAAGTTTTATAAGCTTTAAATTAAACCCCTATTCAGACAGCTGCTATTTCTACCCAAATAACAGTGTTATTCATTTCTTGTGTTACAGTCTAATTTTTGCCTCTCCTGGGACTTCACCAATCAACTGTCAGATTACAAGTCCATAGCCTGATGCACCATGCATTGTGCTTCACTGAAAGTCCTGCAGTATTGTAAACCCCCAATGCGGCATTTGACAAAATTTGAACGCAACATGTTCTGATTATGTTTCAACCTTAGCTGTCACACAGATTGCATTGATTGATAAAGTCTAAATTCAGACAGTTTGGATGATTCCAAAAATATTTGGAACATAACTGGATTGTTTTGAGTAGGGGGCACAATATGATACGCTTTCTTGGGGGCCAAAATCTCTAGCAGCACCGCTTCATGCTTTATCCCTTTATCAGGAAAATGTCTACTTCCCGCTTGCATGAAAATGTTGATGCTGGTTGGTACAATAAACCTGGCATTTCAATGATTTTTTGAGTGCACTTCAGACCCCATCATTAACAAGCAGTGCCTCATAATTTAAAATCAATCTATTTACAATCGACCATTTTGATAATCCATGACTTTAGGTCTCCTTTGCAAACGTATGTCTGTTCAGTCTATTCTCTGCGACTATTGTGTCATCTATGAAATGTACCAGTTTTCACAAGAAATAATATGTACATTGGTAGGTAAGAGCAGTGGTTGCAATACAGAATCCTGTAGTAATCCACTTGTTACATCAGCCCAGACCTTTTCTCTTCCTAAAGCATGTTTTTAAATTCTGCATCATTGTGTATATGTTACCCTGGAAACCAGCAGAATTTAGCATAATTTTTCCAAGATAAAAATCACCTTGGTCATAATGCATATCCAATGGATTCTTTATGGATAATGGTAATGCAGATAAAATAGGCTGTACATGCAGAATCCTGAAAACACACTGGAACCAAAATGTTGTTCATGATAGAGAACCAGTCGTCTGGATTAATGTGACTGAATTTACTGCACATTCAACAGATTATATAATCGCATACCTGATCCTAGTATAATATGTTAAATAAGTATGGCCCCGATTGTGACAGATTCATAATAAATGGTATAATAGCAACAAGGACTAAATATCGAAGGAGCACTTTCACTGGTGAATGGGTCCTAACACAGGTAACAGTGATCATTCTTTATGACTATTTGTCAGTGGATGTGCAAATAAGACGAGACATTACCTTCACCAATACCAAGCCACAATACCAAAGACCACCGAAAATGTTTAGTCAGTTCTGGCGGTGGGGGAAGTGATGCATCTACATAGATTCAGTGGAAAGTTGTGTAACGATCAGCGTTGCCAACTTGACAATTTT